TTTTCGACGAAACAAACTTTCGACGAAATGGGTGTCGACGAAATGATTGTCGACGAAATAATTTTCGACGAAGTAAAACGGGACCGACTTTCTTTTGACTTTACAAGTTTTATTGAAATAACCTTCTAACAATATTTTAATCTAAAAGGATTTTGTATTATGTATGAAATGAATACTTAAAGGATTTGTTTGACAACATGTATATTACAGTTAGAATGACTAGTGAGTCGCAGGTTTTGTGTATGGTGTCTTCAACAGGCTAGGCTTGCACGATCCATAGAGTTAAGAATGACTAGTGAGTCGCAGGTTTGTGTATGGTGTCTTCAACAGGCTAGGCTTGCACGATCCATAGAGTTATTAATGTCGAGATAATTAGTGTCAAAGTACAGGGTGCTGTTGAGTGTGTCGACCCATCACCATATATTTCATTCAAAAACATGGCTACACTATAAATAAAGCCTCAGGACCCTTATTCAGCATCAAGATTGCTCTCAACTTCTCATTCCACTTTACCGCCCTATACACCTACACCATTAACACCAGTCAATATATACTGGACAACACACACTTCTTCGATGCACTCTCAATAGTCTCTCTCCTAATTGGGAAGATTTAACGAAATAACTTGTAATTCGTTTTGCCACTTGTTACTGATGGAATTTAATATAATTTTGAACTGAAACAAATTGCAATAAATATTTTTAAATTCGAAAAAATATTTTCATCGTTTATCAATAGCTTTGTAAGCTATCATTTTAATATCTTAAAATCGTCACAAGGAATCCGTTCAGGATACCTTTGATTATCATATTCAAATTGTGTAGTCGTCAAATTTTCATCACAACTAGATTGTGATAATTGGGATCGCATGTTTGACACCATGAACAAAAAGTATTATATCTATTACAAGTAAAAGACATTCGCCATATTCTTTTCTCTTTTATAGGATTCGTAATTTAGAAATTTTGTTTTTTTTCCAGTTGGATAAGCCTTACCATCCGATTACTTATTATTATGTTCTTTTTTTTTGTCATTACTTCTACAACCGTTACTTCAAGTGTTGTAATTAGACATCAGGTTTGTCGATCATTAGAACTCGATTTTTAAAAAAATGTCAAGTATTAATTCAGAACAAACTCATGATACTCAAAGTGAAAATAGTTTTGCCGAAGAATTTATTGAAGAGTAATTAGAAACTTGGTTATTAACCAATTTATTAATACTTTTTACTTTTGATAATAATTATAACAATGATGTTAATAATAAAATTCTTAATAAAATAAAATTTGAAATAAGATCACCAAATAACTTGGATGAAGAAGATAATTTATTCTCAGAATCTTTAGAAGATGGAGAGGAAGAGGAAGAAGAAGAAATTAGCAATAATGTTTCCAAGTTCTCTAAATCTTCCAGAACTTTAGAATCAAAAAGTGTATCACCAAAAAATGCATTAGTTAGTAAATTAATTTATTGATGATGAAATTAAATCAATTGATGGTAATATTTACGTTTTTATGTAGGCATATTCTATATTATGTGATTTGTTGGATGAGTGTACGCTAGACATTTTATTGGAAACTCATCGAGAAGCAAAATTAGCGGCTTCTGTATGTCAATTATGTAATACGGAGTAAGTTTTTATATGATTTATTGATTGATTGATTGATTGATTGATTTATTGATTGATCAATTAATTAAATAAGAAATTTTGATAATATATAGATGTCGCTCATTTGGTAAGAAACAAAGATCAAGTTAAAAAAAAAATCATGAACGAATTTGAATAAAATTCTTTGGATAATATTAAACTAATTAATATAGATTCCAACCAACACACAAACACACACACGTATTGTGTATATATACATACGTGATCAATTAGTTTCTCAACCAGGTTTAGATATTTTTGGAAATAACCCTCAGCCTAATAATTCACCGCCAACTTTCGAATGTGTAAGTTGTCGACGTACTTTTCCATCAAAACGTTACGCACCACACTTGGAAAAATGTATGGGTCTGGCTGGTAGAAGTTCAAGTCGCGTTGCGAATCTTCGGTAAATGATTATTTTGTTGATTGATTGGCTGATTGAGCGTTGGCTTATTGATGATGACGATGTTGTTATTGTTGTTGTTGTTGTTGTTGTTGTTGTTGTTGTTGTTGTTGTTAGGTTGGGTAGCGATAGAAATCCTTCATCACCTTACACTCCTCCAATACTTTCTGAAGATAACCCAGAACCAAGTGATTCTGATGGTGGTTTATATGTTGAAAATAAAAGTAATAAAAAGTTATTAGTTTATTATTTCTGTGATTTGCTATTTATTTGATAGTGGATGTTTATAATAATATTTTAAATGGAATTGTTTTCCAGGGAAAAAGAACAATGAAAAATCAAGAGTAAGAAATAATTTAATTACTTAATAAATTGGTTATTTAGTTAGTTGATTACAATTAATAATAAATTTTTATTGCTATTTGTTAAATTAGTCGTCATCACCTGCTAAACCTCCTAAACAAAAGAAACAAAAATTATCAAGTAAGAATAATAATGATGATGATGATGATGATGATGATATATTTGATTAAATATTTACTTACATATGATGTTCTGTTTATTTTTTATTTTTTTAAAGTGCCGGATTCAACGAATGAAACACCAAATCTAATTGGAACTAGTGTTTCAAAGGTTTTTTTTTTTGTATGATTTTAATAGCAATTGTTTTGAATTATTATTAATTTTATTTTCAAAATTGGAAAATTATTAGTTAAAAAGTAAGTATTTAATTCCACATTATTTAAAAAATAATTTTTTACCACTTACCAGAATTAAAAATAATAATAATTTGTAGTGGCGGCGGCACAAAGGAAAAACTCGGTAAGATCAGACAGCCCAACGCCATCATCAGCATCCAATAGTCCACTTAGAAGTAGTTCACCATTGAAACGTGTAACAACATTACCATCTTCAAATACAATAAATGGGTATTTGTTTTTAAACCAATTTATTTGATATTCTTTAAAAAAAATTTTTTTTAATAATCCATTTATTTATTTATAAAAAATGAAAAATAGAAATAATAATTCTGATGAAAATTTAGAAGTATTATCATCAGTTGAAGAAGATTATATTTAATTAATTTGTTAATTTAATTTTTGTTTATTTAAATTTATTTATTTGTTTGCTTTTGTTGATATAGAGATATATATTAACGAGAGAAATTTTTAAAAAATTGTAATTTTTGATTTTAATTTATTTAAATATACAACGATCAAGGAATAGATAGATATAGTCAATCAGTCTTCAGGTGTCATTCATTAAATAATTAATTGGTGATTTATTTTTCTAGAAAAATATTCATTGGATTAATAATTCTTTTAGATTTCATTTCATCATTTAAATAATAAAGACGCAATTAATTACTTTGATTACACCTTGCAAAATATTAATATTCATTTATCTTTCATTTCTTTTATTATCTTTCACTTTATTTTTTTTTTTATACTTTCAAGATTAAAAAACAAATTAATCTGTTGGTATTCCATTAACATCATTTTCTTTTTCATCTTTTGATGCTTTGTTTTGCCAAAGACCATAACTTTTGCCTGGTGTTGTCTATCATTGTAATAATTATAATAATGACTTGTTTGTTAATTGATTTTAAAAATTAAACACAAATTTTTTAAAAATTATAGATTTTAATTATTACCTGCCACAATCTTATAGTTCCATCCTCTTTTTTATTTAAATATAAAATAAAATTAATATATATTATTTAATAAAAATAATAATGAAAATATAATATAACATATAATATAATATATAAAAGATACAATACCTGAACCTGTAGCATAAATTTCTCCGTCAGGACTATAGCTTACTGTGTGAATTGGACCATGATGACCCTTATACACCTCTAATAATGGTTAAAATAATTAAAATGTAACATATACAAATATAAATAAATCACCATAAATATAAATAACATTATTATTATTATTATTATTATTTAATACTAACCAAGTTCTTTACCACTTTCAAAATCATAAATTCTCACCCATAAATCATTACTACCACCTGCAACAAATCTTTTATGATCGGGATGTAAAGATACTGAAGAAACATCATAGGCCGTTGCAATTGATTTTGCAACTCGATAACTAAAAAAATTTTTTAAAGAAAAAATAAGTTTGTCTTTCATTGCTTCGGGAAAGAATATATTATTATTACATACGTTGCAGCATCAAGAAAATAAACAATTTTTCCAGCTGTACAAGTGATATATTTTCCATCGGCTGATAGCTCCATACTGGTGATAGGATGTTCTGTTTTAAATGAATTTGCTAAACTAAAATTGCGAAGATCCCAAACACTATATATGTATATATTACGCACATATATACAAATAGAAAAATACATGTATATAAAATTACGAGGGATTAAAAATAAGATTTCTTGAGTTATAACGCGTAATTCAACATTGTCTCACCAGTAATTTTTTTCTCTCGCTCACCGAATTTCTTTGTCATCTCCAGCACTCAGCACCACATTTCTTTCACCATCTACAATAACACTTTTAATAGTTGACTCATGTCCCTCTATTTCAACAATTACTTCATCAGGTTTATTAAGATCGTATAATCTTAACTTCTTTTCTTGTCCACCTGATACAATGCGTGTACCATCATCAGAAATGTCAGCTGAGCGTACAATATGCCCATGAGTAAAAGAAAATAAAACATCCCCGGTATATGTATCCCAAACTTTACTATATGCATATATTTGTTTATTAATCAACCATTATAATTTTTACGAATTGTTGTTTTTGACAGTAATTAATTAATACAATTAGTCAACTAATACACATACGCGGTAAAATCTGCAGAAGCTGTCACAGCTCTTGAAGCGTCTTTACTTAATTTAGCACTCCAGACAGCACCTTTATGACCCATGAATGTTCCTATCCAATCACCAGTTGGTCCATCTCGAAGCATTGGATTACCATCTTATTTATTAATGCCAAAATATATGCGTTATTATGTTATCAATATATTCATAAACATATATTTTGTAAGAAGAATAAATATAAAAATACCTTTACAAGCACTTATTAAATAATAAGTTCCATCAGTAATAGGTGAAAATTGTAAATGAACAACAGGACGAGTATGTCCAGAACAAGTTAAGGGTATAACCCTTGAAGGATTTGTATTTGGAGGTTGTGAAGTTGTCATATTTGTTTATTTTTATTTAATATTTATTTATGTATATATGTATTTGTTCAAAATAATTTGTATTATATAATATGTGAATTAAAATAAAGTTTTATAATCAAAAAAAAAAAAAAAAACAAAAAAAGAATAAATTAAAAAAGCGAAAAAAAACAATTTTTATTTTAATATTAAATAATTGTAGTAATAATTGTGTTAATTGTAATAGTTAATTGTAATAGTTATTGTAATTATATTAATTATATTGTGGTAGTAATTGGTAGATAATAGACGATAGTAATAGAAATTCGAAAAACTTCCTCTCTAAGAGAAGGAGAGAAGAAAGTTGACAAAAATTTTTACCAAAAAAATTTTTTTTTAATATTTAAATTTAGCTTTATATATTAATATAGATAGATTAATTACACACATTCATTCACGTGTTTCATTGGAATTTTCTAAATACATCCGTGAATTTTTTTACCTTTGTAAATCTCTCTTTTTTATTTTAACCATTAAATCAACAGCCCTAGTAGCCATGGAGTAAACGGTTTTAACTGGTTTATCGGGATACACTAGCTCAATATCATTTCCATCTCTAAAAAACATCACAAGAAAAATTTTCATAAACAACATAGCAAAATGTCGGCCAGGACACATTCTAATTCCACCGCCAAACTGTAAGAAACTATTTTTTTCAATTCCTCTCCCGCCATTATTATCACCATCTTTCAAGAATCTATCTGGGTAAAACTTTTCAGGATTTTCCCAATGTTTCGGGTGCATATGTATACCGTGATAATAAGTATAGAATGCTGTGTGACCAGGAAATTCGTATCCATTTATTGTATCCTTGTTAGTGGATGTACGCATCAAGGCAGGTATTGCAGGACTTATTCTCGCGACTTCATGAATAAACGCTTCAAGAAATTTTAATTTTTCGAGATTTTCATAATTAATGGAATCTGTGCTGGTTGAGTCTGGAGGAAAAGCCGATAAAATTTCATTGATTAGACGAGTTTTATATTCCGGATATTTACATAAATGATAAATTATAAAAGAAAGTGATGTTGGTGTCTACATTTTTTTTTTTTTGAGATGGGAAATAATAACAATAATTTTGTTTAGTGTTAATTTTAAGTGTTCAAAAACATTTTCTATAATAAAAATTTACCACTCACAGTGTCTTGGTTCGCAACAAATACTTCCAATACGATTTCACTGATTTCTTCATCAGTCATTGGCCTTGCATATCCATTATAAAGTTCGTCATCTTCACTGATATTCTTTCTTTCTAAATCTCTTTCAGTATTTATATTAATTAGACAAGTTAACATATCATTTCCAAAAGTTACATCATCGCCGCCATTCATTGTTTCAATTTCCTTTCTTCTCTCTTTAACAATTCCAAGCAAATGTTTTTTAAGCTTTGCGTTACTATTCAATAAACTATCATTAATAAATCTGATCGGTGTGTACAACCTAAGAAATTTTGGTACAAAATAAAAGAAAATTATTGATCCAACATATCTATGAAGCGATTCTACTATGTTTTCACTTTCTTGCGAAGATTTATTAAGTTTACTATTAGTAGTAGTGGTAGTGGTGGTAGTAGTTGACGAATTGTTGTTGTTGATTTGATTCATTAATTTATTAAAATAATTTGCTAGGGTGTAACCTTTTTTGCCAGTCATTGTTCTAAGTGTAATATCCATGCTCAATCTTGAAAGCCAAGAAGATATATCTATAATATAACCATCATCATCACCGTTTCCTTTGCCAGCGTTTGCCTTTTTATATTCTGAATTTAGTTTATACCAATAATTTTTCATCTCAAAATAGTTTTCTTTGACCAAATTAATTGTGAAACTTTTTAAAAAACTTGGTGACAAAGCTGCATTAATTAAAAATTTACGATTAAATGACCAAGATTCTAGATCATTGTTCATGGTTATACCATTTGATAAATCCATTTCTTCCAATCCTTGTTGGTTTTTATTGCGTAATTTGAAATTACTTTTTGTTGATGAACTATGAATTTTCTCAACTAAATCAGCTCTACATAACCATATTGTACGTTGATTACCAATATATAATTCAAACATATCACCATATGTTTTTTGACATCTCTTGGCCAATTTACCTAAATCTCTTTCTAAAACATTCCCAATAAATGGCAATGGAAATGGACCTGGTAAAGGTGATTGTCTGGTCATGTAATTATAGTAATATCTTGTTGTATAGAAAATCAAAAAACTGATCAAAACAGTATACCAGTCATGCCAAACAAACGAAATCAAAGCTTGTAGGATCATTTTTTTCTTTGCGAAAAAGGAAAAATTTCAAAAAAAATTTCAATATATATATATAAAAGAAATTTCGATTTTAAAAAAAAATTTTCAACATATGAAAGAAATTTCAGCTTTTAAACTAAATTTGGGAAACACGAACTTGAGGTTATTTTAACTTTAAATAGATTGATTTTGGTTAATTTTTTTTTATGTACTTAATTAATTACAAACTTGTGCTACAAGGAATAATAGTTCTTTTTTAGTTAATTCGTAGTATGATTGCATTCATGGGATGTGTGTATAATCCCCCAATGAAATATTCACTGATTCTCGTGCAAAGACGATTATGCGGATTTTTTAGTATCTTTATCATATATTTCAACACATTGTAAAAAGCTTAATCTACTTACTACCCTTAGTTTCTTTTTATTTGAATGCTCTGATACAATTTGCAATGGCATTATGTTAATCACCTAATTTTAATTTAATTGGCCCCAATCAACTATGTGCAGTAATCATAAAAATCATTTGAAATTTTATATTACTAATTTCATAAATTCTTTGATTTTTTTATGAGCGATGATTATCAACAGCTACATTCATAGAATGATCAGAAAAAATATACTCTATCAACACTATGACTTGAAGAAAATGATTGCGGCACTATAATTCGTGAATTAAATTTAAACCCAAAAAAAAGGAAACTCAAACTGAAAAATTGTCACTTTAAGGGCTACTCGTATATTTTTAATCAGTCTTTATATAAATAAACGATATTCGAATATTCACATTAATTAGCATATTCGAAATTGGTGTGTCAAATAATTTTTATATATTCGAGTATCCGTGTAATAATTTTACGTTATAATTAAATGTAACGATTTATGGAAATAAATAAGTAGTAATCTAAACATCATAGTCATTATAGTCATACAGGCATGCTCAGTAAAAATGGGAATTTTTGTTTAATTACATGAAATGTTGTTACATTAATAAAAAAGAATAAAGTATATATATTATAATTACAATATTATATAATGATACATCTGAAAGTATTAGTATTAATTTGAAAGTATTCGAAATTATTATTATTATTATTATTATTATTATTATTATTATTATTATTATTATGGATATTCGAATAAGAATCGAATATCATTTCCATAAAATTACAAATATTTGAATATGGAGTTAGAGATACGAATAGGAACACTAGCCACAGATCTTTCTTAATTTAAATATTATAGTTTCTTTTATTGAAAGAATAACTAATATCAATATTAGAGAATAAATTTCATCTTATAAAATAAAATCCAAGTCAGAAGAATTTGATGATTTATCATTTTTTCAAATCAACCTATAGATAAATTTCTAGGTCAACTTGCAGAATTTTTTCTTTGAGCATTAAAACCGTAAAACCCGCGTCGTTACACGAATTTATTTGATCACGCTCATTTTCAATTTTATATATAAAACTGATACTACTTTGTCCTTGCATAACTCACTCAATATTTGAGATAAAAAATTTTTAGCCATTGATTTTGGAGACTCTAGTGTTGTTTAATAAAAATCAGTAGTTGGAATTTTTTGTTATTTACTTTTGCCAAATTTGGGTAAAATCAATTTTTTATTAATTCGTGACAAAACATTTATTGTAAACATTCATCATTTTTTAATAAATTTTTGAATAATTCCTTTGAAAGTTTCAATCTCAAAATTACAGCCTTAAATGAAAATCAACATCAGTCAATATAAAATAATGTATCGAACCATTGTTGGTGTTCATTGAAAAGCAGTGATTTGTACTAAATAATCAAAAATAATTAGAGGAGGTTGCACCCGATGAATAATATTCGGTGAATATTCAGTGAGTATTTGGTTAATCGGATATTTGAATATAATAAATAAATAACTAATCAATATATTGTGTAACTGAATTGAAATAAAATTTTCTTATTGAGAAGAGCCTTCAGCCACTATAATAAGAGAAAGTAATAATATAATAATGAGAAGGGAGGAGCTTTCTGTTGCAGTAAAGGGTGGTTCTAAGAAGTCAAGTTGGATATGGAACTTGATGGAAAAAACTGAAATTGTAAAAAATGGAGAAAAATCTAAAGGAGCTATTTATTTGTCAAGTTAATGTCTCTCAAGTTTTTGATATTATTGTTCCTTGTAATGTTGTCTAATTATATTACATATTTATATGATATGATCTCAAGAAGAACAAAATTTGATCTACTTTTATCTGAAAAGATTTTTTTTTTTTTTTTGAAAAAAAATATTGATAAGTTTGATAGAATGTAAATGATTAAATAAATTTAAAGTTGACCGAATATCCGAAAATGAATATCCGAATATTAAATTTAATTGATTGAATGAATATTCAGTGAGTACAAGAATGAATAAAATTTGCAAATGACCTCCCCAAGAAGAATTAAAGTTATTATCAATTATTTATTAAAATTTAAATTTTCGAGCATTATTATTATTTATTATATCAATTTTTTTTTTGGAGAAAATGGCCAATTTTGGTTTTATTCGTCAAATATTAATATTAATAAAAATGCTATAGATGACACATTATAATTTGGTGAAAATAGTGTTTTTTTATTAAGTATGTTTTTGTGCAACTTTTGTTTAAAAGTGCACCGACTTTTGTCCATGCACAACAAGATTCAGTTGGGGTTTTTGAAAACAAATGGCTTTTTTCCCTTTTTTTTTTTATTTATACCAAATAAACAAACAAATAATAATTAGTAATAATAAATTTAAAATCCAAAAAATGATTTTATTTTTGAATAAATTCCATTGGATTGTTTAGGTTGTTTTTGTGTCTTTAATGATTTTTTGGATGATTTTTTCACTAGTGGTGATGATGATTCTGAAGATTTAGAACCTTTAATTGGTTTTGATGCTGATTTTATTTTAGCCGATTTTCGCAAAGAAGGTTTTAATTGAGCAGCAGCAGTAGTAGCAGCAGCAGCAGATGTTGATTGTGAATGTACCGTTTTCCATTCTTTCGTAGCATACAACATAAACTTTTGAGCAGTTTCGGTATCAAATTGAATTCCTGCTTTCTGAAATTCATTATCTAACGCTTCAAGTTTTTCCTTAATTTCATAATCTGTAGCCAATCTAGCAACTTGGAACATGGGAGGTGTCTCACCTGCACTAATATTAACGCCTTTGCTTTTTAAAAGTTGTATAAATTCTTCAATAAATATCAACAAATTTTGATTTTCACATATTTTTGTTATTACTGGATCATCAGAATCTACTTTTAAGCTGTATTCTATACTAATTGGTTCTGTATATAATTTTCTATTAATATTGAAATGATAGTTGTGATATTTGGTTTTGGATATTGAAAATTTTTGTTTTGGATGATAAAATCTTGATAAACAAGTATATATAGTATTTTTTTGAATTGCATGTTTTAATTTTATTCTAACATTATATGAATTTGCTAATGATAATAATACTGGAGGCATTATTTATTTAATATGTGATGTGAAAAAAAATTTTAAGGTTTGCCGATCTTGCGTGACTCGTTGAAACATGGTTGACATCACATATTTAAAGGGAATTTTGAAACTAATGAAAATTTTTACTACGAAAAGTATAATTTCTAATCAAATATTTAAAGTGAAGGAAGAGTTGTAGCATTAACTTTAGTTTGTTTTTTCACATTATGGTCCATTGAAAATCCCCCCATATGGGCGGATTTGACTCCAAATTTTATCAAGTTTCTAAGCTAAAAATGTTATTCACAATGAGATACACATAGAAATATCATTAATGATAATCAACCTATGTATTGTTGATTTTAAAAGTTTTCTTAAATATAGATTATTTATTTAAAAATCTAAATGATAATAAATCACTAGGCGATGATAATAACTAATAAAATATTTGACGAATATAATAGTTAATTATTAAATTATTAAAAGAGAAGACTACAATGAAAAACTTGATGGTTTAAGATAATAATATTTATTTGTGTCAGACATCACCAATTGTGACACAAAATTTTGACGACATGTAGATAGCATGAACATACTTTTCCTCGCTCGAATTAAGATGCATCTCACTTTATGCAGATTGATTGTTGAGCTCAAATCAAACCCTCCATTAATATAATAATAAATATTTACCAAGATTACTATTAAATTTTTTTTTTGATTCATTTTTTTCGATCATTTTTCCATTTAAATATTGCTAAACCATTTTTATCAACACCAACTTTTCTTCGACGTCCTTTACCCTAATATTTTTATCAAGTAGGTAGGTAAAAGTGAAAGTTTAACAATAAATCTAATTAATAAAATCTTATTAATTAATGATCAAATGTGTTATAATTCCAAACCATTAAATTTTTTTGTGTTTGTAATTCCATTTCTGCTCTCTTTAACTCTTCTTGGCGTTCCATTCTTGCAATTAGCTCTTTATATTTTTTTAATTTTTGTCTATTTAATTTCTTATGATAAAATTATGAGAATGGTAATTAACAATTTTATTTGTAAATAATCAACCAATTGACCAATTATAAATTATTTACTTGAATTTCATGTTCATCATCTGGAGCATTTATAATCGCTATCTTCTTTAATGTTTCAACGCGTGGTCTATTAAATTTTCTGTCCATTAATTCTGGTAATGTCTCAAAATGTTTTACTATATCAAAGCTTCTTGCTAAAGATTTTATCATTTATATAAAATTAAAGCATTGTAAATGACAAGAAGGATAAAAATCTAGCACAATTTTAATTAATCCTTTTAATTAACCAATTATTAATTAATCATACCTTCTTCCTTTGTATCAACAAATATTATATGTTGTTGTTTATCTTGGTCTTTTAATAAATTTAATTTTTTATCGTCAATTTCTTTTTTTAAATTTGGTTCAATAAAATGTATTTCATTTTTTAATTTCTCTATTTTTTTTTGACCAAGATCATGTTGCGTCTTTACATAATTTAAATCTTGTGATTTTAATAATTTTATCATATCTCCCGAAAATGCATTATTACGCTCTTGTATATGAACTCCTTCCTATATCAAACAATTTATTGAGAAATTATATTTAGGCTTAGAGTTTAAGGCAAATGTAATCTCACAAATTAAAATATTAACTTTTGTTTTTGAATTTATCATTTTAAAGTAAAACTCGTCAGGATTTCTAAAGTATGCTTTTTCTCGCAACTTTTTAAGCCTTTCTTGTTTTGAATGATAATCTCTTGCACGAAGCACATAGTCTTTATGCTTCTCAAGTAATCCGTATCTTTTCCTTGAGTGTAATTGTGAACGTTCTTTATGATTGCGTCTTTGAACTGCATTACGAAGTGAAGACATTTTGTTTTTTGAAAAATTTTTTTTTGCGTACTACGTCGATCTTTTTTTCAAATTTATATATATATAGTAAAAAAAGCAATTTTTGTTGAAACAAAAGTGGTAATGATCATCAGAAAAATATACCTGATATTACTATTAGACATTCTGGAGCAGATATTTTGCACAAGAGACTCCATTTTTCTGACAAAATTATTGCATTAACTACAGGCAATGAATCTGTAATGTTGATGTGCGGAAAAGAAACTGTCAATGTTCTTGATGCTGATTTCATGTTACTATTTTGCACACATGCAGCCCAAATTGGTTTGGTGATTTCAATGGTCAACATTATGATGGTAGGAAGTAGAAATTAATTATGGCATTCACTATTAAAAACATAAGTGTAATTCCCTTTACAACATGTGTAACATCCATTATGACAGTGTCAAAATACTTTGGGCTGCATGTATAAGTCAGATGTAATTAAAAGTTGAGATTTGGGGAATTGAGTCAAAGCCTAAATTAATTTTGACAACATGTATATATACACAATTATCTAATATGCATGGAAAAAACTCTTTTTGTATTCCAAAATTCCAGAAAGAATATCAAATTCACCAGATAGAACACCATCTCCTACTGTAACCAGATCACATTCACTTGCCAGAAGAAGAATGCACTCTTTAATTCAAAGTAAGTTTCTATTCATAATGAAAATCCTTGTTTGAATTATTTGTAATAAACTCAATCTTAATTCAAATTATTCATTTATTGAATTATTTTACTTGTTTTATTCATTTTATTCACTTTATTCATTTCATCTATTGACTTGTGAAAATATAAAGGCTGAACACCTCAATTTCAAACTTGATGAAATTGTCAATTCTACCCAGTTTAACAAATGAGGCCAAATTTTTGATTTTGTCATTTCTTAAAAATACCATCAATAATATAATTAATAATATGGTAAAAATTTAAAATTCGCATTTTTTGAATAGAATTTGTGTATGGGACATTACATTATTTGATTATTTGAAAAAAAATCATGTGCATTATGCGCATGTCACATCTCTAATGACAGGTATTAATAATATTGTCCGTGTGGCGCAGAAAGATTAGTAACACGAAATAAATAAGCAATGCAGATCTAGAAAAGAATTTTAAAAAATCCTTTTTCAATAGATATTATTTAATAATTTAAAATAAAAATATAAATAAAAACCAAAATTTCAGTCGACATAGCATTACCGTTTGTGGTTCTTTGGCGATTCGCCAAACCCCTCGTTCAACCTTTCCTCCCATACTCGAATAACTCGTCAATGGAAGGTACTTATCTTTAAGATGTAAACTTTATGAAACATTCTTTATCTTATTACTTACCTTTTATTTTTCAGGAGAAAGAAAATCAGATAAAATAATAGTTAGTTGGGGCAGGGAGAAGATTCCTGTAGAATTTGATAATAATAATAACAACAAAGATGATATAGATGATAAAAAAGAAAGAAGAGTAAAACAGGAACAAGTACAAGAAAGTGGTGGTTCGTTGGAAAAGACGACGTTGAAACAGTTGAAAGAGCGTTTAAAAAAAATTACTGGCGTACCTGTTAATGGGCAAAAAATAATATTTTCTGGAGGTATGTTGCTTTTGGAAAAACAGTGGAGGAGAGAGAAAATATAAATGTGATTATTAATTAATTAAATTTAAATTTGCAGCTGTTATGAAAGATGAAAGTGCTACTTTAGGATCATTTGGGCTTCATCACAATTCAAAAATACTTTTAATCGGGACTAAACCAAATGTAAATATTTATAAAATTTTAATTAACTTTTTCTTTTTTAAATTAATTTTAATAATCTTCCCAACTCGACCTTCCCCACGTCTATTTTGTAGGCAAATGATTTGGCAGAAACATCCTCCAATTCATCAGAAGAGCATGCATTAATACAAAAAATAACTCAATTACTACATAAATCTAAAACAACTTTAATTCCACAAATAGAATCTTTTGAAACTTCTGTTAAATCATTTTTAGATGCTACATCATCATCTTCCTCTTCCTCTTCACCTCCACCATCTACTTCTCCTTCAAATAACAATAATAACGACAATGATAATTCTTTATCATCGGATGATGCAAATTTAAAAACAAAATTACAAGATATGCATCATTATATTGTAGAAAATTTAATGCAGTCTTTATTAGTGTTGGATGGAATCGATTTTAGTAGTAATAACAGTAGTCAGGAATTTACGATTGCTAGACAAAAAAGAAGAGATGCTGTTAAATTTACGCAACAATTAATTGATAGAGTTGATGAAGTTAAAGAAAAATTATTAAAGGCTAATATTAGTAATAGTAATAGCGGTGGCGGTGGAGGAATATTAGAAGGTACTGGAACTGGAGTAGGAATCGCGGAAGATGGAAATGTTGAAAGACAAAATGTAGAAGGAGAAAATTAATCGATATTATTATTTATTTGAATTTGTTTGTAGTTTACAATAATAACTACTCAATAACTGAAACAATTAATTAATTAATAGAAGGAGATTTTTTATTATTATTATTATTATTATTATTATATTATTTACACCAATTAAAAATAAAACATTTTACTGATTAATTAATCTATCTATTGATCGATTAAGAGAATATTAAACATTCGTTATAAGAGTAAAACTGCAATCATGACAATTATAAATAACCCATTCAAACTACCACTATGTATTTTAATAAATGAACCAGAAGAATTATTAGTGGTAGGTGTAGAACTACTGTCACTAGAAGTTGTTTTTGGAGTTGTTGAAGAAGCTTCTATAGTTTGAGCTGAATTGGTTGGTAAAGGTGTTGTTGTCATTGTTGTCATCACACTTGTAAGACCATTGGATGTAGTAACTTGCCCGCATACTCCATATGTTGGATCACATCCGTCGGTTCCACAATCTAAAAAAAAACGATGTATGGTGTGGGTGAATTATGTGGTGAGAAACGAGAATCTAGAAAGTTTATAAATTTAAACTTACGTGAAGGAGTTTGACCACAATATCCAAATATACTACAACAATAACCTGGAGAACATGAACTATTTGCAATTTTACCACATTGAATAATAATCTGAGAGTTTACATGATTGTTATTGATTAATGTGAAAGTTATTATTATTGATATTAATAATAATAATGAAGAAGAAAATTTATTATTATTATTCATATTTGGATGTGTTTTGGTTTTTATTATTTTTATTTAAAAATTTTTTTTTTACGGGTGGCGGCATTTATATAATGTATTTTCATTTCGCACTGAAACTTGTTTTTTTCCAAGCAAAAATGATTTAATCACGATTTCTAAAAAAAACTCATTTAATTATTCTATGGGGGTTGGTTAGTTATTCTTGGCCAATCTATTTATAATATTTATTATTAATAGTGATAACCAACAAGTAGTGTTCCGAATCCGAATTTCATTTACTAATACTAATGCTAATACTAATCTCGTCAAAAATTAATCCGCTATTATTATAAATGTAAATTTAATTATAATTCGCTATGTCGGGTAAGCGAATGTTCAAAAGTTACGAATACGACGCTTTCTCTCTTTATTAACTCTATTCAGCAAATAAAAATTTTACACATTATCTAAATAAGGCGAATTATGATTCCCATAAAGTTTCAAAATCTTCTATTACGTAGAGATCGAAGATCACCAAAAAGTAAGTTTTGGACACGGTTAACGCGAGAATTTTTCAGAATGAATTGAATTATAGGAGGGGAAAATATATGTATTCTCTTAAAATCGTTCAATTATGCGGGAGAGGGAGGACGATCGAGAGTTGAAGAATTATCACGATTATCTTATATCCTTTAGTGATAATTTCTTTAGCAATAAATTTATTTCCAAGAAAGTACTCAAGATCAAGAAATTTCCTGCACCATTATTATATCTATAGCTTCATAAAATACACTATTGCAATAACAATCTACACCACAAAAGCCACCACCACCATCATCTATAATTCTTGATAGACAGATGGAATTAATAATTAATCTCAACTTTATAAAAAATATATTTTTATGATAAACGAAAGGCGAGCACTGATGGTTCAAGTTGAAGTTCTTTTTTGAATGATGTGTCCAGCCAAAGAAAACAACAACTGTTCAGAAACACTGGTTGCTTGGATAGATAAATAATCTTTGGCAAATGCTAGTATTGTATTTATATATACATCTTAAGGCTCTCTTTTCTAAGACAGAAAATTCGTTTAAAATTTTGATTTTTATTATTATTAGTTGTAATACTGGTATAACATTTGCGGTCACTGTCGATTTGCCGGTTCTTAGTGTTAAGGCGAAGAATTTTTTTTAACCATAATCGGATTAGCAATTATTATATTTATTATTATTGTATTATTTGTTTCAATTTTTCCAAAAAAATGGACCAATCGACTATCGCGGAATTTTCTAAATTGCGGATTCTTCAATTCGTAAACATTTTAGGTATCCTTTCAACATTATTCTTTATAATCCATCACATGTTCTCTATGTAAAATAGGTTTTTTATCCTATGCTTCTAATTTTGCGTTAACCATTTTTTACAAGTTGAAGGATTAACTATGATTTTTTGAATTGTTTTTTTCTTTTAGATTGTTCTTTGATATTTCAAGCAATCTACTTGCTAACTAGTTAACATTGATAGTTTTTCCATAGTTAATTAATTAAAACTATCAACATGTCTTCCTGTGAATTCATTCATTGCTAACGATCCACTCGTGTCATTCTCTGTTCTCTTTTATTATTATTATTATACCTACTACATACCACACACCAATTTTATCCAATGATTTTATGTAAAAATGTATTGGAACTGCATTAACAGTGAAAATATCCTGAAACTTTTACCATCCTCATTGATAAACGAATTCCTGAAGCTGAACAAATCTATATGTCAATCAAATGAAAAGAATAAAAGAAAAGTATTTCTGATGTTAATAAAAACTGAAGTTATAATAGATGAAAATGGTCTAGAGATGGATAATAAACCCCTCAAGGATTGTTAGTATAATTTGTTGGATATCAACAAAACTCAAATAAAAATTATAAATAATATTGGTTCTACTATTTTCATTAGCAATACCTATTCTTCTTTTGGGATACCCTGCATTAATAATGAAAATAAATCTATAAATATAATTAGGTTTTTTTAGTTTTACAGACCATTATGGAGTAATTTGAAAAAATTATGCAGTTACTTGCTCCAAAGAAGATACAAATATAATTGTTATTAATAATATTACGAGAGGTTCTTCTTTTCATAAAATCTAATCGTATTTCTAAGCATTATTTGTTTTATATTCTACATGTTCTACATGCTAACATTAACATTAACACTTTTGAAATTGTTGGCATGCAAGGACTGTGCCACAGAAATAGGACTTGATAAACATTATTACAAAACCTGACCGTAATATATATTTCATTTACTCAGTGCAATATTATTTATATGTAAGTTGTTCAATAGAAACGCGCGAACTCTGGAAATCAAAATTGAGCCTTATATGTAACTTTTCCGTCAATTTCTTGCCAAGCTCTCTTTAATTGGTGATAAATTATTTGAACGTTGTTTATGCATTTCCACTTTAAATATGTACATCTGATTCTTTGTATATATACAATAAATTATTATTATTATTATTATCATATAATAAATGATTTCTTATTGTTGTAAAAATTGTTATTGGCCTGAATTGTCATTTTGGGGCATGTTACCAATATTCCAGAATATCCATTATCTTTTTGAAAGTTTACAAGATTATTTATAATATTTTATTTATAATATTTAAAATTAAAGAAAAATTCTCAACGTGTTTTATTTAATAATGATAATCTTTCTTTTATTCTTTATAGGACACTGGTATTGCGTTTTTTAATGTATAATAAACCTCCATTTATGTCACTATACATGTGTAGTAATGTTGATCATATATAACTAAAAATAAATGTGGCTGTATATACGACGTATATACCGCTTATTATTATGCATTCCTGTTATCGGAAAATACACAATTATAATAACCTTTAATATTAAGGCAATAACACATGATTAGCATGGTCAAAATTTCGTTCACATGGCTCACGTATAAAAAATAATAAAATCCTCAAAAGTTTAAGCTTCTTTGGGGTTATTTACAAAGATTTGTGTCTTCGCTTTGTATTAAGTCATAAAAAAAGGTTCCCATTATTGGCCTATTCAATCACAATTGGGTATCATTTAATCAAACTTACCTGTAAATAATATTATAGCCTTGTATCTATATTTTTTGTTACAGAATTAAAGGTTTAGTTACTATATACTTTTTATTTTTATTTAATAAAAACGTCATTGACTAAAAATGAGTGACCGTGAAAGTATATTATACTGGGTTGAAAGTTTAAATATTTTTTTAAAATTTTTTTGCATTAATAATTTTCTATATATTAATTTATAGGATTTTTCTGCCTTAAATGTATTAGTGAATGTTAAGTGTCTTGTTTGAAGGTTAATCGTTGACAATAATTAGCTTCACGCCATGATATTCTTTAGATTTATTCCTATCAAAAATATCTTTTGACTTATTTGCTACCAGAAAAAGGATGACTTGCTTTTTTATCTATTAGAAAAAAAACTTCAACGCGTTCGAGAGTTTTGAGTATGCATTTTTCGTATCATTATTATTTCCTAAAATGGACTGTGGCTGTGTTCAAGAAATTTTTGTTGATATATAAGTTTCCACGGCTCATAATAATATCGCAGCCATTATTATTATTCATGTATGTAGATCGATCATACGTGAGTAAGGATTGAAAACGAAGTCAAACTATCATTGATATTAATTTCTAACACAGTAATACGAACGTTAATTAGCACGCCTGCAATATTAAGAAGACCGTCATTTTTTAAAAAGAATAGTCAGACTAGTGTCGCTAGTCGACTAATTGTATCTAGCCGCGGCTAAATTTCAAGTCATAAGTCTTAATATTACTATAAATAGATATAGTCAAAATTGACACTTTTGACATATATAATCTATTTTTTTATAATAAAGGAAATGACTAGTATTAGCAAGATTTCATAATAAGTCACATTTTTAATTATTCGTGGATAATTTTGAGGTCATGTTTAAAAGCTTCTTATTCATCTTAGTAAAAACCTTGCTTACCTCTATATGTGTATTGCTCCTGGTTCTTTTAAATTCTTAAATGGATGGGGATTAGCAATACATTTAATAAATTTACAATCTTTTTTATTGAGAGTGGAATTGGATAACTGGATTAACTGGATTAACTGGATTAACTGGATTTAGGGAACTCGTTAAAAGATGTTATTTCGCCGGTAAGATTTTAGAATAGTTATTAATTATTTTTTTAATAAATTTTATTGAGACTGGAACTGGAAAAATGTAGTTTATTTGTTCATCTCCATAAGATTCTTTGTGATAATAACAAACAAGTTATTAATGAATTATAATAATTATAATTTGATTATTAGGATATTGAAAATTAATTCAAGACTCGGGCATTTAAAATTAATTTCTTTAATTTGAAGCTCGCGTTCTTATGATATGATGATACAATGAAATTTCAGGAAGTGGTAGCAAGGTTCCGAACTTGTGTTGTTGACAAACAAAGAGATTGTTAAGCCTCCCAGCCTACTAATGTATGAATGGCGTTGCCTATAGAAAAATTCTATAGTTATGAGGAGTGCAATTTACATGATAGTAAATTCATAGAAGGAAAATCTTGCACCAAAATTATCAATATAAGATTTATTTATTTTATTTTTCAGAGATAATTTTTAAGGAACCCTGGAACTTGTAATTGTATAGAATTGGGAAGCGCATCCACACACATACACACACACACAAAAGTTTAATATGAATTTGAGGAATATTTAGGAGAAACATATATATTTGATTAAACATCCTTTGTGAGTAAAATATGTAGCTTTAAATTCTGCCTTTGATGTAGACAGCTTCATCGCCATAATCATTTTAATCTTACAAACTACAAAGTTTATATTAAAATTATATTATGAACACATTAAAGTAATGTTATCTCTAAAAATCAAATTATTCTTTGAAACATCAAGTTCTAATTCTCATAATATAATATGTTATTATTATCAAGTAATATTGGTCAATCATTAAAATTCGAATTTTTGATCGTGTTGCGTCACGTGATAATGTAACACAAAAATTGGGGCTCAAAATTTTACTATAGGTGAAATTACATGAGACGCGTTCAAACACCTTCTATACTATAATATATATGATATATATGTATTCTGGTGTATTAACCATTGAAAATGATTTCGAGTAAATTTTTCTCTTTTAAATTCTTCAAAAAATAAATCTCGTCCATTACTTTTATTACGGGACGAGTTTAATTATGGATTATGGAATGAGATTTATTTTTTTAAAAGAAAAATTTACTCAAATCATTTTCAATGGTTAATATATACCAGAATACATATATATAACAGTCCAGATGTTGATTGAACGCACCTTATGTAATTTTACCTTTAGAACAATTGCTTAAAATTTTGGATTTTGCGTTAAATGGTCACGTGATTCACTATTCGATGTTTTCAATGATCGACGACATTTCGTCATAGTAGATCAAGCAAGGGGATTAATTACATACATAAATAGTTTTTCACCGAGTAAATATTTTAATTAATGAGCAAATTTAAAACAACACCACCTCTTGTAACTTTGAATGAAACGAATAAAAGTCGAGGTTTTAATTTTTAATATATAATAATCATAATAATAATTAAAATTATATACAAGTATTTGTGGCAAAAAATTATTTTACAAGTAATATTTATTTAATAACATATTTATTGTGAAATAGTTGAAATACACCTTCATGAACCTCTTATTCAAAAACCTAGATCTAGAAAGAAAAGAATAGGTTTGCAAATTTTGAATACATTGGCAAGGTTGGAGGTTTTATTGGATAAAGAGGAATCACTTGCAAGTTCGGATACTAAAATAGTGAATTTGAATCAGGTCCGTGAAATTTCTTTTTTATGAATGAATTGGGCAGCTGTGATCTTTTGAAATATTATCATCGAATCAATTGAAAAGAGTAAAGGAAAAAAACTAAGTGTTTAATTAACTGATTGGTTGATTGATTGGTTGATAATGTTGATGAGGAACGCCAGTTTTTAATCATTATTATGGGAATTAGATTATCAGACTAGATTAATAAGATTATATTAATTAAATTTTCAAGAATTCATTCCATTACAAAAAAAATTATTAATTATTAATTAATTAATTTTAAATTATTAGGTGCTCTAATAATATCTATATACTATCTTAACATTATTATTATTATTATTATTATTATTATTATTATTATTATTATTGTGATATCTAGCAACAATTCAATAAAAAAGAAATTGAAAATGCACTTTCTGTTCTAGAGACAATAATATTTCAACTCGAAGATGAAGCTGCACCGAAGAAAGATATTCAAGTAAGTTAGTTAAATATTATAACAAATAAAATGAATAATCAACTGAACAAGTGCGCATATATAAATAAGTTTATTAATTAATTTTATAAATAACATACTTGGATATCATTATAAGGCCTACTTGTCAGAATCAGGACTTGGTGGTTTATTTCCAAAGTCTGCAAAGAGATTAGCCCCCAATACTACACTATTTAATGATTCATCAAACAAAATGAATGCTACAGGTAAATTCATAATTTCAATTATATATTTACATCTACATGCATTCACTAACAAATGTTATATTAAATATAGCACATTTTCATGAAACCAATTTATACAATCAATTGGTTTCAGTATCTTTACAACTCCAACAAGATATAAAACTTACAAATCATAAATATATGGCACATCAATTAGCATTACTTTATGTAAGCAAAATATTTCCTAAAAACAAATATATGCAAATTATTAAAAAATTGAATATTATATTGAATATTCTAATATTTTTAGCAATGTCTCAATCAAGTTGGTGGACCATTTCTTAAATATAGATCTCGTGTAGAATTACATTTTGATGCTATAAAAGCATTATCAAATAGTTCAGAAGAACCTCAACTTGATGAAGAACAAAAAAAATGGTTTGTAAATTATTATTATTATTTTTCTTTTTTTATAAGGAAAATATTTAATCTATATATTTATAATTATATGTTTTAATATATTTATAATTTATATGTTTATAATAATACTTATAAATATAAATAATTTATTTTCAGGTTGTCAGAATTAACTGCCGATATTGTGACAGGAGCTTTATTCAGTGGTAGACCAACTACTACAATGTCACAACCTGTGGCTGCTTATTTGAACAAAATTGGTGATATGACAATCGCTAATAAAACAATCTTGGATTAGATAAAGTGCTGAATGAATGAATTAATGAATGGAATTTCTTTAATGTAAATTTTCTTTTGCTTAAATCAAATAATTCAAGCCTTTATTTATTTTTCTTCACATTAACAATTGTTTAAAGGCTAAATATATTTTTCTGCATATCTTATAATTTTAGTGATTATTTTTATTCCAATTAATTAATCAATTAGTTAATAAGTTAATAAAAATAATAAATATTATTATTAAAATTAATATTCAACCAAAGAATAATCTTATCCACGAAAATAAACAAACAAATAATTTATTGTATTTATCAAAATCATGTTATTTTATTTAATATGGGACAAGTGCCACAAACAGACTCTAGGGGATCCAAATATCGAACTTGTACTGTGAGACCCCATCACATTTTTTCGTGATTTATGAAGGTAAATGCATCATTCCAAGACATTCACAACTGCAATTTTATTTTTAATATTCATAAAACATTATTGAATAAATCAAGTTCTAAAAAAAGCAATTATTTAAAAGAAAAACTACTATTACTATTACAAATCGCTAATTATAATTATTTATGTTATTATTATAACAAAATGCAGGATCAATTTCACACAGATAACTATCCAATGCATTTGCCATTATATTATTGATGCCTTCTTATCGTTTGGTTAATATGTTGATATAATTAGTCATCATGTTCCCGTTTAATCTGACATCCAGAGCAAACATCACATGCCTTGGGATTAAGAAACGAGGGATAGATTGTCATTATGTGATCAATCCTACCAGCTCAATCATAATCGACAAGTTTAATTTTTTTAACCCATCATTGTTAGTTATCCTTCATTTTTGTTTGACAGAGAATGTTTAGATTTCTCAAATCACCTTGCACAAATTTTGCATTACGCATCTTTCTAACAACTTCTTTAAAAGCACTTTTTTTATTTCTGTAGGTTCATGCAGAAACAACGTTAGTTTTCCAAAACTAGAGAATTTCGCAACTGTGCGAAAGTCAAAAGGTTTCGCCACAAACCGAAACTAGCTTTGACATATGACCCTTAATTTTACTTTCGCCTTTTCAAAATATTTTTGGCAATAGCTATCTAAAACCTCCATCATAACCATATATCATTCTGATAACCAAAAAGACGAGAGACAATGCCCAAATCTGCGCAGAATTTGTGAGCATCTATTCCATATCTCTCCGCAAACTTCACAAGTAGTTGCCTACTCTTTTGGTGGCTGAGATACAAGCCCTGGTGCTTTTTTATTCAAAAATCATTGATTGACTTGATCATTTTGAACAGGGCATGAATTTCATTTTTTAAGCATGCATTTGGTTGATAACATGATTAGAAGGAGAGTCTTACTGAACACTCTGTTCCAACGTTGGTTCAAACTAGAGCCTGGTATGACCAATGGACTTTTTATTCCAAGAATTGATGTTTTGTATGTAAATACTCGACGAAAAGCTTTTTTCAACCGATAAAAATGCATCAGTCGTGAAACGATCATGATTCATCAAAAACGTGATTGTTGATTTACTGTACAATTCAATGCAAATCTTTTTAATAAAATGTCATGACCAGGTTGTAATACAACTTATGTCTTGCAGTATAACTATTCCCACACAGTTTACTTCCCTCCTCTTGGATGATACAATGGCAGATTTATTCGATGTATACCATGCACTGCACTTTATATACAGATTCAACAGACTACAAAAAAAATGAATCATACAGTGAGCCCTTTTATTGATTGGCTAATTTTAATTTGAAGTGACAAAGCATTTTTATTTATTAAATTATATCGTTATAGCTAAAATTAAGATTCATTCATTCATTTTATTTAGAAGGTTTTTTTTTACCCAATCTAAATGTTTATTAGCCTTCATTTTAGCACGTCGTTTATCACCAATAAATGGTGAAATTGGTTTAGTTGGCTTTCTTGATGATGGTTTGATCCTAATTGGAAAGTATCTTCTTATAGGTCTAGCTTTAAGAATTGTGAGTTTTCGCAAACGTCGTATCTCCTTTCGAACACGTTCCTTTAATAATATAATTATTTGTCGTTTATAAACAATTAATCATTCGCTCGTAATCATAATCTTTTTAAAAAAATTTCACCAACCTTCTCTTCTTGTAACTTCATTAACTTAATAAAATTTTCATGTTGATCACGTTTCTTTCTCTCCTCATCAAATAACCTACGTTCAACAACACGCGTATCCGTCTTGAACACAAATTCTATTGGATTTGTTGGTGGTTTGGTGAACCGTTTGGGTGTATAAAAAACCATGTCATTATGATCTTGTCGTGGCGTTGGTGTAGCATGAAATCTAACATTCTCATTGCCTTTTTGAATACTTTTCGTAAGTGTTTCCTGAAATGTTCTTTGATACTTTTCTCCTCTAATGTCTGTGACCAGTTTAAATGGGTTAGGTTCTGTTAGTGGTAATGAACCGATTTGGAGTAGTTGCTTTTTATTACAATACTAAATAAAAAGGATAATATTGATAATATTGAGTTAGAAATATTAAATATTAAGTTACTGATTCACGTTTCCTATTTTTTAAAAAAACATACAAAACATCAGGCGAATCACTAGGAAATGATCGTACCTTAAAATTATGTGCTTGTTTCTCTTCCTTTTCTTGTTGTCTCATTTTGCCTTTAACGACTTTGACTTTTCTTTGCGAGATTTTATCACCTGGTAATGCAAATTTAGGCATTAATATCTTATGATGTGGTGTAATAAAAGTTTTTTTTTTACATTTTTTAGGTGTTGAATGATATGTTTTCACATTATTACTATTATGATTACTATTATCGTCATTACTATTATCATTATTAGTTGTTGGAAATGACTGATTTTGTTGTTCTGATGATTTAGATTTTGGGATATTTGAAGAATGAGAAATCGTATTTTTCAACTTGTTATTATTATTTACTATTTGCCCTTGATGATCCTCATTATTATTATAATTATTATGAAATATATTTTCCTCGACGTTTAGAATCCTAAATAAAAAAACATTGAATTTTTATTAACATAATCAATAAATAAATAACTTTTAAAAAAAGTTTCGTTTTACCTGATATGTTGTGCTCTTAATTTTGTAAGTAAATTAGGAGATCTTGGTCTTGTAAGTTGATTATGTGACAAAGAAGTTGGCTATATATATATACACACGTATTAATTGGTTGGTTGTTTGTTTTTTCATTTCCAATTATAATTCTTTTTTTTTCTACTTACGTGAAATTTTACAACTTTTGATTTATATCTTTCAGGTGTTCTTTCCATAAACAATTTAATCCTCTCTGCCAAAGGAATAATAGGAGTCGTGTCTATTATTGTCGCTGATTTATAGTTTGATCCATGAAATTTAAAAGGTTTTGGAACTGTAAAGTTTCTTCTTTTATCAATGTTCATATTATTGCTAGATTGACGTTTCTATGAAAAAATAAATCAGTTAAAACTGTTGCAATTAACACAATGGTAATGACTATTAGATGGTACCTTAACACCTGAAAATTTAAGTGCTGGTTCACCATTTACGCGATTTAGTAGTGGTTGAATAGATTTTTTAGAAAGATTGAACACTTTTGGTGTTGTGTTTACTAGTTTTCCTTTATTACTACCAGCCTGATTAGATGATGGTTTTTTTAATAAGTTTTCCAAATGAACATTATTATCTTTGTTATTATTTTCTCCAACTTTTAAAAAAGAGTTTAAATCTGTTATTTTGTTATTTGTTTTATTCTTGGCTTTTTGATTATCATCGTCATCAAGTATGATGACTGGTTCTAGATTACACCTACTATTATTAACGTTGTTGATATAATTGTTGTTGTCGTTATAGTTGCTTTGATTTGAATAGTAGTAATTATTAGAAGTCTTCAAAGTCAAGTTTTCAGGTAAATCATTATCAATACTAATATCATCGGGATTTTCTTTGTTAGACAATAATACCGTAGAACTAAGTGTAACTTTACTTGCAGATGATTTTTGTGTTAATAATAATGGTATACGGGTTGGTGTTAATTCATAATCATAATCATAACCATTATTATTATTATCATTGATCGGCGAGGAAATTGTCATTAAATTATGGCTACTGCTATTACTACGAGATCCAATTAATTTGCATGATGTAGTACTATTGTTGTATTCGTCTAATTCTAATTTTTTACACACCAATATATTAATAATATATTATTATTGAACAAAATGAAAATATATATCTTGAAAAACTTTTTTTAGATAAATTACCAAATAAATTGCTGTTATTTCCCTCATTAGTTTGATCGTAAAGAATGTCATGACATTTTGACGTGTTGTATTTTTTAAATATTGAAGAGCTCGCACATGGTGTCGATGGTGATGGTGATGATGAGATTCTTGCTTCTTTAAAACTATCAAAAATGACTTTTCTAAATGGAGAGCCGTTGTTATTGGTATCACGATCGATTTGTAAAAAAAGTTTACTTTTTTTATATGGAGAATTTTTTAATCTCATTCTCTTTTTGAAAATAAAAAAGGGATAATTTATTAATATTCATATTAAATAAATTACAATTAATGATTATATAATATTTACATAAAATGTCGAGAAAAGTTGATTTAAATGAGGATAATAATAAAAGAACAATTTTTCGTGTTATTATTTTTGCACATGATTTATGTAGATCAATCATTTTTATTGGTTTAAATTGATTTTTCATCTTTTTTTTTTTTCAATTTTAATTTTATACAATTATATTTTTTTTTTTTTGTTGCTTTAAAAATCAATTCTAAACAATGGTAATATTTTCCTTTTTCCTTTTCCAATTAATCGATTAATTCTTTCATTCATTCGAGCTCCAAATATAATAGCTAATTATTTATTTGATTAATTAATTGAATTTTTTTGTAGTCTAAGAAAGTAAAGAAAGTCAAAGTAGAAGAGAACATTTCACTTGGACCACAAGTTCAAGGCGATGAAAAAGTTTTTGGAGTAGCACATATTTTTGCTTCATTCAATGATACTTTTGTTCATGTAACTGATTTATCAGGCCGAGAAACAATTGTTCGTGTAACTGGTATGAATATACTCTTCTTCAAATTGTTTGTTTATGCTGTCTTGAATAAATATTTTATTTATTTCGAGTGTTCTTTTACTTTCTAAAATTTTTTCAATTTTAAATTGAGAGATTTTTTATGATATATATATATTCATATTATAAATAAAGGGAATAGTGGTGAAACACATAATCCCCAAAAAAAATATTCCCTCTCACTAATTCATTACAAATATAATAATAATAATAGGAGGTATGAAAGTTAAAGCTGATAGAGACGAGTCATCGCCATATGCAGCTATGTTAGCAGCACAAGATGTAGCAGCAAGATGTAAAGAATTAGGTATTACTGCTTTACATATTAAATTACGAGCAACTGGTGGTAATGGTACAAAAACACCCGGACCTGGTGCACAATCAGCTTTAAGAGCTTTGGCTAGATCTGGAATGAAAATTGGTAGAATAGAAGATGTCACTCCTATTCCAACTGATAGTAGTACGTATATCCTCATTCATTATTTGTATTCATTATGTATTTGTGTGTGTGTGTAGGTGAATATGGATGGGTGTTAATAAATATTTGACAATGAATTAATTTAATTTTTATTATTTGTTAAATCTTAGCTCGTAGAAAAGGTGGTCGCAGAGGTAGACGTCTGTAAAGAATAGTAGTAACATATTATTTATATTATATAAAAAATGAGAATTTAATTAAATCAACAAATAATATTGTGTTTATTATCTTCGCAATCATAATAATAAAAGACTTTATTGATCGACGAATATTCAAAATTATAAATAAAAAAGCAATAATTAATCAATCGTCCATTGAACATCATTATTCCTAAAATAAATTTATATTAAAAAAAAAATCTTTGTCGTCAATTCAGTAAATAAATAAAATAAAAAATATTTCAAATAATAATACCAACAATAATAAATAACCTCAGTTGTAATAACATCCTTAGCTTCAACTCATCTTTAGATTAATAATAATAAAAAAAAGATTTTGCCAGTAAAAATTCAACTGGATTATTATTAGGTTTAAAAATTTAATACCAATTTTATCAACCTAATTAATCATTTCAATGCTTTTTCATTTATCATTTTTTATAGTCACTAAAATCTGATTTTAATTAATTAAATAAAAGTTAACGATTAATAATAATAAATTCTTAAGAAATTTAATTCTACTTGTGTGATATGCCAACGGATGCAATTTTGTCTCCATCATCATTATTTTCAAAATATTTATCAGAATATATCTTGTTGATACCTATTGACAATGTATACTACACGTGAAATCCATAATCCAAATATGCAATTCCACTAATTAATTAATTTTTCGAAAATTTTTTTTTCTTTTACCCGAATCCGAATTCTAAAATGGCACATCGTCTATAGTACATAAAAAAGCATACTTTCTGATAAATTACGATTAAATCTGACATCGTATTGCTTTTGTACAGTAAAAATGTTATTAATATAAATAATTAAAATTTTGTTGCAATGTTTATTTTTAGTTGTTTTTACTGGAGATATCATTGGTAGAGTTTGTCGCGATCCATTGAAGATTTGTGCTGCCGGCCTGCATTGTGGATCATAGTTGATATGGTATCTGGGATTATTGATCCCTGGATAACAAACGGGCTTGTTTCAACTACAATATTCCATTCGTCATCACTAAATATACTCTGATAGGGACAAGGTTTATAGACCACAAATATGGAGGGACAATGCTAAGGTTTCATAAGCCTTATGAAATTAAAAAAGTGCTAACATAGCAAATTGCCATTATTTAATAACATCATGTAGTCTAAATTATTTTTTAAAACAATGAATAGTATAAATTTTACATTTGCTTTAACCTAAATATATCTGATATAACCAAATAAAATAAAATGGATTTATCGAGGTGCCGTCCAATCGTATGTCGTACACGTGACCTAGCCTCATTTTAATATTTTTATTATAAATGATGTCACTTGTGAAAAATTAAACCGGGTAATTAAATAATTCTACATATATTAATATTTAAGAGCCTTGCTCATATGATTTCATAATTAATAATAAACAAATTATTAATAAAACACTTTTGTGGTTGGAAATTAAACAGTAGGGTTTTAATTGTTTGGTTGGTTGTTAGAACTCTGAGGTTTTGGTTATTTGCTTAGTAAAGAAGCAGAGGTTTTGGGTTTTTGGTTTTTGTAAACATTTTGTTAAGTGTAAATGTAAGGAAAGTGACAGGCAAAAATATTAAGCATCAACAGTTATTACTGATTGACCACCTATACAAGGAGTTAACAGTTATTGACCAAAGTCGTTATCATGTATTGTATTGTGTTAAAGTAATGGTTGCAAACGTACAGCTGAATTCAAATGGCCAAAGAAAAGCAAAAGTAAAGTAAACAAAAAGTAACTCTATAGGAGCCTTTGTTGCTTCATAGAAGGGCCATCTTTATTTATTGTCCATAAAGTGTACTCAAAGATTTGCCGAAGCTTTCTAGGTACAAGAAAGAGGCAACAAGCATTACAATTGTAAATAAAGCTTGCAATTAATAGATAAGTGTAGCCAAAAAGTTAACTCGAAACTTGGCCATAAAACATAAAATAATTGAAGTTGACCAAAAAGCTACCCTCGCACTAGTGTATTTAATTTGATATTTGTATAAGCTGTAATTCATCTGAAACTGTTCAATATAAATATTGGAATTATGGTGAAGCCTAATGACATTTCTTTTGGAGAACCTGAATGCAAACAAACAATTTTTCATATTACTAGGAGTTCTTCATTATAATCTTTTATCATTAATTGATTAAACAAAGACTATTTGTTACTAGGAACAGATTTTTACAAGCCATACTTGAGATTCCATGGCTAATATAGTAACAATTAAAAACTAGATGTTAATATCAAGAATATCAAACAACTTATGAGATCAGAACACCATTCAGATTCTTTTTAATCAAGATATGATGATTGTCTTGCTCCTCAGGCACATTCCTTCCGTTAAGTATTATGCTGCACAAAACTACAATGATCATTTTCACATAATAGGATTTTTTTTAAAGATGCCATCCATGTCCTAAAACATCATTTGACTAATTATATGGTATTGTTGAAGATAATTCTATCAGTGACCAATGCCCATATGGTGACAACCAAGCCTGGTCTTAGGGGAAGATAAGAAAATGTTTTGTCCAAAGCCTTCCAACATATGGGGGCCTTCACTGTGGAAACAATTCCACAATTATGGAGGTGTGTGAAAGCACCCAACCATATG